ATATATATATATATATATATATATATTTGAAGTGATAAAGGATTACTCTGGATATGGTTTAATCAGATATGTTAAATATACTGTACTTATGTTAAAGTACCATATTATGTCACAGAGATATGTCCTGAAGTATTTACGGATGAAACTATGATATCTGGGTAGTCTGAGGAAATGTAGGGGAAAGGCACATAAATACAAATGAAATTAGTTACCAGTTGGTAATCATTGAAGTTTGGCAGTGGGTACATAGGGACTTACTGTACTATTCTACTTTTTAGACGTGTTTGAAATATCCATAATAAAAGTTTTTATTAAAAATCCAGACATAAGTAACAATAAAAATATTATCTTTATATTAGTCTCCCTGCAGAAAAAAGCCAAAGATGGGTACTGAGAATCTATATATTCAAGAGGATTATAACTCTGGGCTTTGCAGAACTTAGTTTCTGCTAATGGAAAGTAATTAGTAGTTCACTTCCTTCTGAGTACACTTATAATCGGTCTGATGATCAAATTTAAAATCTTTTGTTTTTTGAGATCAGGTTACACTATGTAGCCCAGTATAGTCTTGGGTTTGTGATCGTCCTGCCTCAGCCAAAAACTAGGATTATAGAAATGAGCTACTGGGTCTGGCTTCAAAGTAAACATATCAAACAGCAATGACATTTCATTTTCAGAAAAATACTCTGGCTGGGTGTGGTGGTGCAATCCTGTAACTGCAGCACTCTGGGAGACTGAGGAATGAGGACTGCAAGTTTTAGCACAGTCTGGGCAATTTAGCGAGACTTTGCCTTCATATGAAAATCAAAAAAAGGTTGGGGATGTAGCTAGTGTTAACTCCTCAAATTTAATCCCCAGTACCACTAAGAGAAAAAAAAAGAGAAAGTTTGGGGGAGAAAGAGAGGGAGAAAGAAAGGCAAAGAGGAGAAGGGGAAACAAACTTTGGTCCACAACCAAATTTTGGTAGCATACATTATGGTAAAAAGCATTAACCAAGGAAATAATTTTACGTACTTCAGGGCAACCTATATCCAAGACTGTTTTCAATGCTGACAATTTAAAATTGGCAAAATAAATCAGGAAAATAGTTCTGAATACAAAAGTAATTAATTTACTGCCAAAATAAACCAGCTTCTAAAGCAGAGTAAATTACTCATTGACTAAAACATCATCAGCTATTAACACTAAAAATCCACAAGACTATAATAAACTTTGTGTGTGTTTGTGTATGGTGCTGGGGATTGAACCCATGGAATAGTACATGCTAAATACACACTCTTCTACCAACGTACATCTCCAGCTCCAAGACTATAATCAATTTTAAAGAAAGATTTGGGAGTGGGGGCATGGCTCAGAGCACTTGCCTATCATTGTAAGGATCTGGGCTTGACCTTAGCACCAAAGGAAAAAACACAAAAAATGGATTTAACCTTCTATGACAAAGAAGAGGTGTGTCAGGTAAAGCTACCTTTCAGAAAACACTTAATTTTGACAAATGTACAAGTGTGTGCATAAAAATTTCTGTGCCTATTTAATAAAGCACAGAGCCAAAGAAAGAAGATACATTTTAATTTTGTTTTTGGAACTAAATGTGCCATCAAACTCTATTACAATGAAACTGTTTTCTTCTCAGATACAAAGCTTTCCCCTTGATTTTTTTTTTTTTTTTTTTTGGTACCAGGGATAGAACTCAGGACCTAGGGCTTGCCAGGCAGGAATGGTGTCCCTGAGCTATATCCCGGGCCCTCTTTTTTTATCGGCATTTTCCTACTTAACGGAAGGGATTCTGCACCACTGTTTATATAACAGTTCTGCTAATTTCATTTCTGTACCACAGTGATTCTTAAAGAGCATCTCATCTATTTTTTCCAAAATTTTCTTTTATCCCCTCAAGTAAAAAAAAGCAAACAATCAAGTTCTCCTTCTATACTTCCACAACTCTGATCACATCTGCTATCAAATGTCTAAGAGGTTTCCTGCACACAAGGAAATCAACTCAGTGGCAGATACCAGCTGGGTGTCCTCTAATTCAATTGTGACTACTGTCAGATCCCACAGGCCAACGATGCTTTTATTTCTTATGATATTGTTCATCTATTACTCATAGTGTTTTACTTTTTAATGCTTAAAAAAAAAAAAGGACTCAATTTTTATAGCCACCAGCAATTAATTCCAGAATGTATTCTGTTTGGTTAGCAAACTGCCAGGTGAAAAAAACATTTTATATATAGTATATCTAAATGTCACTGCTGTCAGTTTCTACCTGTAACATGATGCTTAAGGTTTTTCAAATGTCTAGCCAATTATGTCAATCCATATATCCTAGAGTTACTTTTAGAATATGACTTCAATTTTCACCAACAGGGTTTTAAGTCACACAGAAAAAGGGAAAAAGTTTTAGCACTAATTTATACATACCATGGACAGATTTCCCAAAAACTCTGAAGACTGTGTAAGCTGAGGAGATCTCCCTTCTGTTCCCAAAATGCAGGAAACATCTGGATATTTTGGTAAGCTTCGGTTTGGTGGAGTAACTACAAATAAGTGGTTAACAGAAAAAGCGCAAGGTATAGGAGAATTATCAAAATCAAGCAAGCAAGCAAAAAAGAAGAAATATTTCAGTTTTCAATTATTTAGATTCTAACCAATTAAATACTTTGTTAACATTTCCATGATATAAAAGTTTAACTTATTTTTCTAAATTTGAAATTTTAGTACTACTGAGCCAATCAGGGAAAACTACTACAAACAGCTGTTTCATTGTAATATAAATGAGCAGTTAAGAAAAGACACTAACCTATGGATCTTTCATATTCTAATTTTATAAATGATACTGAGCCTTGTGCTTTGGTAAACAGACTATCTTTTCAATAGAACTTACTACCCATATTAACTTTTCTAAGTATCACTTTCAGCTTTGGTAAAATAGAGGTAACAATACCTATGTCACAGTTACTGTGAATTTATGTGAAATATAGTACCTTGTTCATGATACTAGCTAAACAAATAACTATAATCATGATTTGTGCTTACTTATTGATGCTGTAAACAAATATTATGTGCACAATAAATATCTGCTGTTATTATAACTACTGTTATTATTAAATACATTTTTTTCTCCTCAGTACTGGGGACTGAATTTAGGGCCTTTGTATTGAGCTACCTACTCAGCCTATATTTTATTTTTGGAGACAGGGTCTATGCAAATTGCCCACGCTAGGTTCAAATTTACAGATCCTCTTGCCTCAACCTCCCAGAGTGCAGGAATGACAAGTTAGGTACCCAGCTTATTAAATACTTTGAAAGCAAAAAAGTCTTACAAGGCTGTCGAAATGAGCTGGGAGTTCGAGGAATCATCTGGTTTCGTGGTGTAGAATTGCCAACATTTTCATCATGAGAGGCTCGAACTTTACAAAGAGTTAAGAAAAATTTTCTATGTAGAAAAAAGATTATTGAAGTTACAACTAACCATAGTATTACTACACAAAATATGTGAATGTAATTTTTTAAGAACGCATGTGTAAATACCAAATAGCTTCTCTAGTGTGAGAAACTGAAAGTGTAAATAAGGATAAAAATGTAGAACAGATAACGTGAAATAGGAAGAAAAGGTGCAAAGGGGAAAGGAGAAAGGTAGGGGAAAGGAAAGAAGGAAAAGGAATAAATATGAGAAAAGGAAAAAATGGAAACAAGGTCTTCGTAAATAGGGAGGGGTGGAGAAGTTGGAGGGCAGGGGAATGGGGGATAAGAACCAAGTTATATCATGTAAAGGTACAAATTCCCAAAGATAAATGTCATCATATTGTATACCTAAAATGTACCAAAAAAACTTAAGGAATTAAAAAAAAAGAACTAAGATTTTATGGCTAATATCTTCTCTGTGCAAAGAGTAAATAATTTCCTCTGCCATTTAAATTCTCAGGTGTCAGTCTTAGCTAACTATACATTGTCTTAAGAGCTCTCAAACTGAAAAAGGCAATTACATCTCAGCACATGCTGCCCCCCAGTATGAGAGCTGGAAGATAGAATATCCTGTTTTCAGGGAAACAAATTGTAATTTCAATGACTTTCATTGACAGAATTATACTTACCAAATAAAGTATCTGTGGAGTGAACAAAACTAGCTTCTACAGTATTTTATTATAGTCAATGTTTAATAGTTCTCATAAAAAGAAAATTCTACAAAACAAACAGCAATTTGTATAATCATCCCCAAAATACAAAGGATACTCAAAACTCTTTTTTGGGCACTCTGCTTCCGTGCAGTCCGTGTCACCTCTGGCTCTCGGATCACAGGGGATAACATTTCTCCAAAGCCACTCCTAAAGTATAATTAATAACTTTTAATGTAGTATTTGCAAGCACCTTTATCATCATGATTGGTGAAGTCATTCCAAAAGCCAAGGCTTAAGCTGGAGATTTAGCTCAGTGGTGTGGCCGCCTGCCTTGCAAGTGCAAGGTCCTGAGTTCGATCCCTGGTACTGTAAACCAATAGCCAAGGCTTAGATATTTTTGCCACGCTTGACCTCCTGGCTCTAGATCTTGCTTAATTCTCATCCTCAAGCCTCACTTGAGTCTTACCTATACAGACTTCTTTGCTTTTCGAACACTCATGTTATTTTGTCCTAGGGAATTATTTCAACACTTGGAAACCTATATTATAACACTGTTGAAATAACTGCTTCATAAAAGTAAGTCTTTTCCCTGTTGAATTGTGGAGTTCCTTACCTGTAGACCTCTAAAGGACTTCTGCAATCTCTAAAAGATAGTCATACATTGCTTAAAGATGAAACAGGTCCCAAGAAATGTATCACTATGCAGTTCTGTCATCATACAATGTACTTAACACAAACTAAGACTGCTATGAAGTCAACTAGGTAACATATCTTATGAGACCACTGTTGTAGTATGTGGTCTACCATTGACTAAAACACCATGTGTGACTATACTTCAAGGCATAAAAATTATGAAAAAAATTGAGCTGATGAGATGGGAGGGTAAGTAAAATAATTCTAGTAAACTGGAGAAATGAACCTTCAGAGTATTTCTCCCCATAGTACAGTGAGTGTTGTTTCTTCTCCCAGCCCTATTAAAGACACAATGTTCCAGACCTCCCATCATCTAGAAATTAAATCATACGGATTATGAGCTGTGTTTTCAAACAAGAATCCAAAAAAAGAATCCAAACCAGGCAAGGTAGTACACGCCTAGAATTCCAGGCAGGAGTATCGCCAGTTCAAGGTCAGTCTGGGCTATACACAGACCCTGTCTGAAAAACAAAACAAAACAAAACAACCCACAATATCTCCCTTCCTCCCTGTCCTTTTGGTACTAAGGATCAAACTCAGAACCTCAACCTTGCCAAGAGCTAAATCCCTGGCCTTTTTCCTCCACTTTAAATCTTCATATACTTCTCTCTAGACTGCAGAATCAGGTTCCTATTTTCTAGCATGATATTTAAAGTGTGAACCCAGTGTTGGAGGTCTGCCCTATGATCAGTCACACCACCCCCATATAAACATACTGTATGCAATCATTCAGGTACACAAAGCACACACATTCTTTATATCCTTACATATCTAAACATGTTTCTTGTTTATGTTTTATATTTGTTTTTTTTTTTTGTTTTTTGTTTTGTACCGGGGATCGAACTCAGGCCCTTGGGCTTGCAAGGCAGGCGCTGGAACCACTGAGCTAAATCTCCAGCCCCTAAACATGTTTCTTTTACTTCTGCCCCTCTATCCACCTGAAGTACACCTACTTACTCATCAAGTAGCCTTATGGAGGCTAGAAATACAGTTCCACGTTGGCAATTTGGTTCTTCTATGTAGTATTAGCTTTCTAACTCTGAACAAGTTCCTTAATATCATTCAGCCTCATCATTACCTACGAAGACAGGATGACACTACTAAAGCTTATAGGAATGTTCTGAAGATTCAATAAGCTATTTAATGCATAGCACAACGGCAGTCATGTAATAGGCAATATTTGAGAATTCATAATGTGCTATTGTTCAAACATCACCTGTAAAGTTACCTCCTTTGAGAGGTTTTCCTGACAACTGCTGTGACGGAGGGTGTTGCTGACCCACCCTGCCCTGCCCCAACTCCCCATTCCCCACTCTCTGAGCTTTCCCCACCCAGGCGCCATTTGTGGGGGGCCTAGACCAACTACTTTGTTCTCCAGGGGAAAAACAAAAATGAATGACAGAATCACGGACTCAGCGAGCCTCTAGTAATACCTTTGGCTTGCTTCACCCAAACACGGGCACAAGCAACCAAAGTAACACAAGATTCATCTGCTTTCCAATATCCATTCATACATTCTCTGGTATAATTTAAACTCAGCTGTCGTAACTTTTCCCTAATATGCAACATGCAATCACCTGAATGCAGCCTTTCTCCTTTGCGCTCATAGACAGGAGTGAGATCTTAGTTTTCCTCTGGTCTCTAACAAGGGAGACTTAATTGCCCCTTCTTTTCAGAGTGCAGTACAAAACACTTTACCATTTTACACTGCTTGTTGGTCCCTTCCATTACAATGAATTCTCCAAAGCCAAGGACCCTGAACAACTCACTTTTGTCTCAGGGAACTAATATAATCACCAGACTATAAGAAGAACTCAGCTATTTGATGCTAGCCCAAAACCATCAAGACTGGGTGGAGATCTCAGTGCCCTCACTGACCAGCTTTGCGCTCTTGGGCTGGTCACCATTTCCAATGCCAGGCCACCACCTACCCCGCCCACCTCAGAACATCAGATGCGGCGTGAAATCCGCCAACAGATCAGAGTTGTCGTGGGAACGTACAGAATTGTCATTGTTCCCTCCCCCACCCACACAAGCGGCCTTTCCTCCCTGGGTTATCAAATCTCCAGGGCCAGGAAAAGAATTCTGTGGCCAACCCTCGGGACATCAACGGCTTCCTCTGGAAGTCTAGTTTTGATCATCTCGTTCCGCCAAGGGACAAGATTTTGGGCCCAGGTATTACTACCCAGACTGACCTGTCCATGGCTATAGCCTTCTTCACTTGGAACCTCTTAACATAGTCCAATTCAGCCACCGCGTTTCAGCCTTCCCGCTTTCCGGAAGCAAACCTTTCGACCCGGAAGCAACTCTAGAAAAAAAAAAAGTGCGCGGGACCGGGGAAAACTAAAATTTCTTCCGAGCGCATGCGCAACTCCCAACTACAGGCGTAGGCTCTGGGTGCTATTGCAAAAATTTACCAATGCGTGGCCGAGTGCCTGGGCCGTGGGGGCGGTGCCGTGGCTGCGTTGGAGCGGGAAGCGCGGCTACCTAAACCCGACCGCCCTTGTGGGTGTGGTCAGGCCCTGGGTGTCCCACCAAGGTACGGAAAGATGTGAAGTCCTTTCCTGGAGTTCTCCGTCAGAAAGAACCTGGACTTGGAATTCAGGCTGCACCATGCTTTAGGGGCCCCTGTCTCGGTCAGGACACTCGTCTCTTTGATTAAATTGTGGCGTGACCTCGATGTACAATTTTAAAAATTGCTCTTCATAATTGCTATTTGTTTTTGTTGTTTTGTCCCTGCCTTACAAGGAAAGTGACGGAGATGGCCGTTCCATTGTTTTCTTTTTTCTTTCTTCTGCTTTTTTCAGCCCTATTCTTTTTATAACGCCAACTCTCCTGTGGACGGTGTCGCACACTTGGTCTTCCACCACTCTGGAACAGACTGACAGGATGATTGGAAGTTTAAGCCCAACCTGGACAATTTAGTGACATTGGGAGATCCTGTCTCAACGAAAATTAAAAAGGGTTGAGAATGTAAGTCAGTTAGATAATAGGCTCAATCCCCAGTATGGGGAGTGGAAGAAGGGGACCTCTTCTGCTTGGCTCATTGGAACATTTAGTCTGTTTAGTGGAGTGGACTATTGACTGATTCTAGAATCACAAAAAAAATGAGATCTTTAAGTTTATTGTGATTTTATCACAATACAAGGCATCTCCACTTTCTACAAAATAAGTGTTCTTTTTCTTCACTCCTCATGGAAATCATTTGAAAGTTCACAAAAAGTTCTTCGCTTCTTTGAATTTTCCAGCAATGCAGATCTCATGAATCAGATCTTCCTGTCACATGACATCCTATTTATAAAGAGAGCTAACAATCAAAGAGTTATCTGTCAAAGTAATTAACTTACTGATTTTGTCAAAACCACGCTTGTTGATCAGTTCGTTTACAGATGATAGTTTGGGTACCTACATGTGAGCTTTGGAAACAATTCTTGTAATGTTAACCGAAGCCTTGTTGAATTTAAAAAAAGGTATTATTGACCAAAGGTACTGTGAATATGAAAAACCTGCAACACTCCAGATATTTGGACTTACATCATTGACACCTTGCGTCCTGATGACAAATGCCAATTTGGGTTCTGTGGGTACACGTAAGTTCCCAGTTTTTCTTGCCATTCTAGCCATTCAAATCTCAGTTCTGGACAAGTATGTATATTCCTTGTGATAGTGGATAATTTTTCCATAGACACAATGACACACACCTTCCTCTTTATCTTCCGTGTGTGTGGGTGGGTGTGTGTGTGTGTGTGTGTGTGTGTGTGTGTGTGTGTGTGATACTGGAGATAAAAGCCCAGGGATATTCTTACCACTGAACTGTGCCTCCAGGCCTTTTTATTTTTCATTTTGAGACAGTCTCAGTAAATTCCCAGTCTAAGTTTGAACATGGGATGCTCCTGCTTCAGCCTCAAAATAGCTGGAATTACAGGTATGCGCCACAGCACCCAGCTTCCTTCTTGCCTCTTGAAGCATCTTTTGGGCAAATTTTTTTTGTCAGGTACTTGATCATCAGCTCTGGGAAATGTTTTCTTAAGGTTTCCTGGTACAGAAGAAATCTTTTTCTTTCTTCAGTACTCTACTTGGTTGCAGTTGGAAAAGAAATCATTTTAAGTTGTCAAAGGTATTTTACATTCTGCTTTGGGAAACAGTGTTCTTAGGAAGGCTTCTTTATACCTTATCCACCTGAAAACAATATAGTATTTTGGAAAAAATACAGCTTTGAGCTTGATTTAGGCTTGAACCCTCAGGAAGTATGAAGGTTCCTCATCTGAAGAAAAGAGATTATAGCCGGAGTGGTGGCGCACACCTGTAATCCCAGCTCTCAGGAGGCTGAGGCAGGAGGATCGCTGTGAGTTTGAGACAAGCCTGGGCTACATAGTGAGTTCCAGGTCAGTCTCAACTACATAGTGAGACCCTGTCTCAAAAAACCAAAAAAAAAAAAGAGAGAGAGAGATTATAATTTCTTTTTCAGAGAGTAGTGAGTAGTTGTAAGGATTGCAAATGTGATGTCAAATGTACACCGGACAAAGAGGTCCTTCACATAAGACATTCTTCTACCTAGTCACAATATAATAAACAGAACATTTAATATAAACACAATACTATAATTAACAAACACAAATTTCCCCAAATGTTTCAATGCCCTTTATAACTGTTCTCCGGTGTGTGATCCAATATAGGATCATTTATATCGTTATATTGCTTTGTTCTACTTTAATTTAGAATAATTTTCTCAACTTTGACTGCATTCTTTTGTCATCAACTTTCACACTATCTGTCTCCCCCACCACACACACACACGCACGCACGCACGCACGCACGCACACTGGGGATTGAATTCAGGGCAAGCACTCTTATCACTCTTACATTATTTTCACACTATCTGTTTCCCCCACCACACACACACACGCACGCACGCACGCACACTGGGGATTGAATTCAGGGCAAGCACTCTTATCACTCTTACATTATTTTTCACAAAATAAAAGAAACAAGATTTTCCTCCTTTATTAAAATAAAACATGAACACCCTACCTAACCTCAGCCCCAAACATAGACTAGGTAACTGGTCATTCGCACTCTGCTACGTTCATATCCCTACTGACTTTTTAAAGAATTCAGACCAGTTTGAAGAGAGTCCCTCAATTTAGGTCAGTTCAGGGGCTGGGGATTTAGCTCAGTGGTTCCAATGCTTGCCTCAGAAATGTAAGGACCCGATTTCAATCCCAGGTACCAAGAAAAAAAAATTGGCTCATTCTGTTTCTCTGTGATAAGCATTTGTAACTACATTTGTTAGGGTGAGGGCAGAAATATTACATAGGTGTTATTAAGTCTCCCTTTCTTTCTTCCTCATTTCTTCTTCTGTTCCTTCCTCTCTCTCAATCCCTACCCACCCCTTCTTCAAGAGACAGGGTTTTGTTATGTAGACGAAGATGGCCTTAACTTGTTATGTGTCCTGGGCTGGCATGCAATGCACTCCTTCTTCAGCCTCCTTGGATGCTGGGATTACAGTCATGCAACACTAAGCCTGGTGAGTATTACTTACAAAAATCATCTTAGATGGCACCTGAGGTCAGTCTGTTTAATTCAAAATCTACTCAATCCCCTTGTTCCTTCCAAAGAATTATCTTTTCACTTGGTATTTTTTTTCTAGATATTACCTTTTCTCTCTCCTTCCCTTCCTACTCAAATGTCTGTTTTGCTAAATTGTAAATAGCTGTGGGTAGCTTTCTTACTATAAATGCAACATATGTGTCTCTCAAAGAAAGCTAATAGACCTAAAGGGGAGAAGTAAATTCTCATGACTACATCTGACTACCATTCTTGAGATTCCCCATCAAGACTCACTCAGATGGGTGTCAGGAGTAGAGATCATGCTCAGCATCGGGGAGGCCCCCAGTGTAATTCTCAGCTCCATGGAGGGTGGGGGCAGAAAATGTCACTCACTAAATCCAGCCAACCCACTGTATTTTCAGTACCACTACAACTTTGAATTTTTAGTTTATGAGTACATGTAATACATGTTTACATTCCTTTTGGGAAGGTGATACTTGCACATCACTCATCTTAATTCCTTTTTTCATCTCCTTTCCTACCTCTTCCCCCGCTTCCACCCATCACTTGGTCCTCCTCCCTTTTAAGAACAATCTACTCCCCTATTTTCTATTATTTATTTTGCTCTTTATTTTTACCCTGGGTTGCTCATATAAGAGAAACCATATGATATTTAAGCTTGTGTATCTGATTGATTTCACTTAATATTATGGCTCGAGGTGCATCCATTTTCCTACAAATGAGTTGTTTATCTATCTTTACGCTCCACTGTGTGTAAATAGCACATTTTCTTTATCAATTCATCTGTTGATGGACATATGGGCTACTTCCAAAATCTAGCTATTATGAATTGTGCTGCTATAAGCATAGGTATGCATGTGTGACTGTCATATGATGTCTTTCACTCTTTCAGGAAGATACCTAGAAGGGGAATAGCTGAATCAAGCAGAATTACTAGTTTTAGTATTTGAGGACTCTTCATACTGATTTCCCTAGTGTTTGTATTAGTTTACAGTCCCACCAACAGTGTAGAAGGATTCCTTTTCCCCTGCAGCCTCTCCAGCATTTGTTATTATTTGATTTCTTGATGATGACCATTCTTTCTGGGGTAAGATGAAATCAGTGTTGCTTCAGTTTGCCTTTCTGTAATGTCTAGGGAAGTTGAGCATTTTTTTCATGTATTTATTGGCCATGTGTACTTCTGTGCAGTGTCTATTCACTTTGCTTGCCCATATTTTGATTGGGTCTTTTATTTGGGGAGAGTGTAATTTTTTAAAAAATTATATATTCTAGGTAAAAGAGCAAAGGGGAAGGCACCACAGTCATGAATTTGAAGTTATATTACAAAGCTCCTGTGATTAAAACAGCATGGTACTGACACAGAAAAACCAGACATGTGAATCAGTGGAATTAGAATAGAGGATACAGAAACAACTCCAGGCCCACTCAGCTACCTTATCTTTGACAAAGGTCCAAAAACATCCACTGGAGGAAAGATAGCCTCTTTATTTTTTTCCAGTACTGGGGATAAAATTCGGGACCTTGTGCTTTCAAGGAAGGCACAGCACCACTGAGCTAACCCCCCAGCCCTGAATATAGCCTCTTTAATAAATGTTGTTGGGAGGGCCAGGGATATAGCTCAGTGCTGCCACACCTGCCTGGCAAGTGCAAGGCCCTGAGTTCAATCCCTGCTACTGGAGAAAAATAAAATAAAATAAATGGTGTTGGGGAAACTGGCTATCCACATGCAGAAGATTGAATCTAGACCTATATTTCTTACCATGTACTAGATTAAAATAAAAATGGATAAAAGAACTAAATGTTAAACCAGAAACACTTAAGCTGCTAGGAGACAAAATAGGTAAAACTCTTGATGTCATAGACATAGGCAGGGACTTTCTGAACAGAACCTCAGTTGCAAGGAAATAGTTCTGAGAAGCAACAAATGGGATCATATCAAATTAAAAAGCTTCTGGGGCTGGGAATTTAGCACAGTGGTACTGCCAGTTGCCTTGCGAGCACAAGGCCTCAAGTTCAATCCCTGGTACAAAAACAAAAACAACAACAAAAAAACCCAACTTCTGTGCAGCAAGAGAAGCAACTAACAGAGAAGGCACCACGTACACAATGGTAAAAAGGTTTTGCCAGTGATTCCTGAGCTACTACATTTTATAGTGGTGCTTTAAATAGTTACTGATAATTGGAACAAATGAGGTTATATACTATTTCATAATCTGTTTATTCAACTAACAATCTGAACATCTTTTCATGTCAAAAATTATTAATCTACGTTCATAATTTAGCCAACATTTTGAGAATAACATTCCTTCTTTCATTTTCATTTCTAACATGGCCTAATGTAGCCTGACTTTAACCTTCGCTGGGAAATGAAAACTATTCAATACAAGGTTGCCAATGGTCTCTTTCTAGTAAAAGTTTGTTAGAGCACCCTCGTAATCCCAGTATGAGGCAGGAAGACTGTCATGAGTTCAAGGCCAGCCTAAACTACAGAAAGAACCTATTTCTAAATAAGTAAATAAATAAATACTAAAAATACAATAAAAGTTTGCTTTTCGTTTGACACCAGTGATATTCTCTTCCTAGCTACTCCCCTGCTCCTGCATGTCATGACTTAGTAGGCTTCTCTAGTCCATGCTGGCTCCTCTTGGCCAGCCTCCTCTGTGGGCTGTAGAAAACTGCATTTCCCTTCAATGATAATCTTTTCTAGAGTTCTGATTTAAGCCCTCTTTTCTTCTCTTCAAGTCTGTTCTATTCTCAGGCTTTAAACAACCATTTCCCAATAGGTCCTCCAATATCTATAGTCTACCCGATACACAGATTTTTTTTATTCAATTCATACATTTGATTGCTTATTAGATACATACACTTGGAGGATACAAAGCATTATAAAATTTAACATGTTCTTCTGGGCATGGTAGTGAACACCTGTATTCCTAGCACTCAAGAGGCTGGGGCAGGAGGTTTGCTGCGAGTTTGAGGACAGCCTTGGGTACATCATGAGTTCAAGGCTAGCCTGAACCCATAGTGAGACCTTGTCTCAAAAACAACAAACAAAAGGGCCAAGGATTTAGCTCGGTGGTGCCATGACTGCCTTGCAAGCACAAGGTCCTGAGTTTGATCCCAGGTGATGAGAAACAAAAATAAAAACAGCAAACAAAAAAATTAACATGTTTTAACTCTTAAACCTGAACTCAAGTTAGTGTCCTCCCTTGCTCCACACCAAATGACACAACAAACCTAGCTGTTCTTTAATTTTTTATCTTGGCAAATGGCCTCATCCAGTTATCTAAATAAAAAATCAGGAATTTGCTCTCAATACAAATGAAGTTCCATGAGGCAGACATTTGTATTTCATTTGGTGCTGTAGCTCTCTAAAGGTCAAATGAATTTTTCTTCTCTCGTCCTCTACATCCATTTTTGGTGGAAGGGGGATTGAGGTGGGATGTCACTATGTAGTTCAGGATGGCCTGAAACTTAAGGTGATCCTCCTGCTTCAGTGTCCTGAGTGTTGGGATTATAGGCATACACCACCACCCCTGGATGTCATCAAATCTTAAATATGATTTCCATTTCCATAGCTACCTTCTTAGTCCTAAATGATAATCTCTTCACTGTGCTAATGTAGATCTTCCAATTGAACTTTTTATTATACTGTTAAGAAAATGGTCTAAAATTGTAAATCTCATTGTTGCTCACCTTTCAGTTTCCTTCAGATCTCAATTTTAACCCCAACTACTTGACTCAGTCTTTAGGATCTGCCATCATCTTTGGCACAAATTCTATATCCCAGCTATATTCAACCATGGTTCCGCAAACTTTCTGTAGCTATTTGGCATATTTTTTCCAGTTCTACCAAGCAGAGGCAGAACAAGCCAGTGCTTACATCATAGATTGCTATGTAGTCACTAAAAGAATATTTAGAATTTGTAATAATTTGGTTGCATTTGTTTTACTTTAAATGAGGGAAGAAGACTAGCATATTGTATATATCAATAGTCTCAGAAACAATGTAAATGTATAAAAAATTAAAGATTATACCAAAGCTGATAGTGGTTGTGTTTGGTGGAACTGGCTAATTTTGTTATTGTCTAGTTCACTATGACTTATATTATTTAAAACAGTTAATTTTCATAGCAGGGCCTAGTTGAAATTCATAGTTTAATAAATGTAAAAACTCCAATGAGTCAAATGTGCATATAGTGGTTATGATAGGTGCTTAAATTTATTTTTACTATGCCCCAAAATAATAGGAAATATTTTGAATACAGTTGTAGGATACATAAAAGCTTATGTAGAAAGTTTTTAGATTATTAACAGATATCAGATGGTGTTTTGAAATTTTTAATGTTTGGGGAGTTTTCTTCTTTGGTTTCAAAACATTGCAAATATGCTATAACTTTGTAACAGTATTTTATATAAAGTAGAATTACTGAAAGATTAATTTACTCCAGGGCATGGACTTGGAAATAAATTGATCAAATCAAAATTTCCTCTCTATGTCTGTTTAATAGAAATGAGTACCTGTGTCATAGATTTGATATGAGCATTTAATTAACTAACATTTATCAATCACTTAGAATGGTGTTGACATATCCACTCAATAAACAGGGGCTAAGCTTATATTTTACAACATATGGTAAATATTGAAGATTTTTTTGCTGTTTTATTTAGTTACAGTAAGGCAGGGACTAATCTATTTACTTCTACCTATAATTAGTAGGTGCTTAATAATTTTTTCCTGAACAAATGGATCATTTTCAACCAATACAATTACATTCAATTCTTTTTGTTTGTTTGCTTTTTTTTTTTTTTGAGACAGGGTAGTTGAGACTCACTCACTATGTAGTTGAGACTGATCTGGAACTCACTATGTAGCCCAGGCTGGTCTTGAACTCACAGCGATCCTCCTGCCTCAGCCTCCTGAGTGCTGGGATTATAGGTGGGTGCCACCACACCCAGCCCAATTCTTCAAACAATATTCTAACTATCTATATTTGTATAAGACTGTAATTTATGTTCATCATTTTCATTTTATCATATATAAACACTTCACAATACTATGCACCATCTCAAATAATGTCTTTATCATCTCATTCTTGTGGAACTTAAAAGTAGGAAGAAGCCTTGAATAACTTGTTTATAGATTCTTTTCTTTCAAATTGTGTTCAAATTGAAGAGGAAAACAGAATGGTGAAATGTAACACTTTTAATTTCAAGGTAGTCTCTTATTGAAGAATTATAATTTAAACATTGACATCTGTGTAGTTAGCAGTAGCTGTTGGTGTGCTGTCTGGTGTGCTACTGCAGTTGAGTGACTACAGATAATAATGTACTGTACATTTCGAAAAGCTGGGAGAAAGAATTTTGAATTTTTACCCTAAGGAAATTATAAGTGTTTAATATATTTAATCTGATTTAAACACTATGTAATATACACATGTATCAAAACATCACATGGATCACATGGTACTCCAGTAATATATACAATTTTAATGTTTAAATGAAATACCATGAAAACATAAAAAATGACATCTGGGGTTTTTAACATGAAATCATAAATGTGACTCCTTTTCTTTGTTTTGTTGTTGTTTTAGGCTGCTTTATTGCAAATATGAGATTAGATATAAATTCATATAGGTTTCTAATCAGTTAGCTTTTTTTTTCCTCATTGAGTTTATTGGTACATTTTAGTGATACAGTAAAGTTACATTCATTATTGGGATCTTGAACCTTTACATGACAGGTCTTGATTCTCACTTTTTCCCCTTGTCCCTGCCCTCCCTTCATCCTTTCCTCCTCTCCCCCTTTACAAATATTTCATTTCCATTTTTTCATTTTCTCTTATTTTTTTCTTTTCCCTTATTACCTTTCCCCTACCCTTCCCACTTTCCCTACACCTTTAGCCCCTTTCTTCTTATTTCACATTGTCAATTATATTATTAAGATCTTATGTACTATTATAGTTTATTCACACCAGAGAAACTATTTGGTAATTACACATGTGCGACTTATTTATTTCACTTAGGAGTATATCCTCAATATGTATCCATTTTCCTATGAATGAATCTAATTTCTCATTCTTTATGGCTGAGTAATATTCCATTTTATAGAAAAAACACATCTTCTAAATTAAAATCCAAGTGGATTAAAGATCTAAGTATTAAAACAGAAACACTAAGCTTGCTGGAAGATAAATTAGGCAGAATTCTTGAAGACAATGGCATAGATTTTATGAACAAATCCTCTGTAGCATGGGAACTAGCAGAAAGAATCAACAACTGGGATCTCATCTTATTAAAAAGCTTCTGTACTGCAAAAGAAACCATCAACAGAACTAAGAGACAACCTACAATGTGGGAAAAAATTTACCAGCTGCTCCTTAGACAAGGGATTATTATCTAGAATATATAAA